CAGTCTGTCCGCAGATCTGGCATATCAATGCGTAAGCGGTGATCATTACAAAAACACCTACGCTCTTGCACAAAATAGTCCGCGACGTGTGTTTCGCGCCATGTTTTCAAAAATCCGTAGTTGTTATATAAATCCATGAAGCTCTGTGAATAACTCATTAATCCGCTTGAAACTTTCAAAAAATAAAATTTAGAACTTGATGTAAACGCACAATGTAAAATAAACATTTCAATTTCGACGAAAGCCTTGTATCAGTTGTCCAAAGATAGCACACGCATTTTTCTCAAGCAGATCGTGTNCCGTTTATAAGATCTTAGGTAAAACCATGAAGCTCTGTAAACAACTCATTATTTCGCTTGAAACTTTCAAGGAATAAAATTTAGAACTTGATGTAAGTGCACAATATAAAATGAACATTTCAATTTTGACGAAAGCCTTGTATCAGATGTCTAAAAATAGCACACGCATTTTTCTCAAGCTGATCGTGGAATTTTGTACCCTAAAATGAAATTATTGTAGAAAAAATGGACAAACTTACTTTATTGATATTATTACGGTTTATGCAACTATATATGCTGGAATTGAGCCAAAAAGAATAAAAAAATTGTACAACCGTCCTTTTTTGTGAAATTCCTATTTTTATGCGAAGTATGTAGGTCAGTCGAAACTGGGACTGTCACGTTGCACTGAGCAAGTGACTGGAGAGCGTTTTTCTCGGTAAATCTTGCATTTCGGTTGAAATAAATTGAATGTTCAGCTTTTCAAGTGTATATTTATAGTATACAATGTGTCACTGTCATAGTGAGAGTTGTAATGGAAAATAATACGTGAATAAACGACATCGGTGCTGGAGATCAACCATAACATATGTACAGTGTATGTGACGACGCTACTGACTTTGTCTTGGTGGCGCGAGGTAATAACTAAACAATTCCATGTTTTCCCATATTCTTTATTATCGCTTCCTAACTACGCTATCTACAGTTTATTCCTCTACGTTCAACCTCTTACATCGTTCTCCCCGTCTACATTACATTCTTCGCTTAAGTACAATAAGGTCGTGTCAATCAACTAAAGTAACACTACAAAACACTCCCCGCTCTTATTCACTGCATGCTGTCACTTACTAACATTACATTATCTCCCGGGGACGATATGCCTGTCCCCAGGCATATTTAAAATTAAAATATACATTAAAAATAAACTTTCTTAAACAATGCATTTGTCTTCTGTCATAAATTCATGCAAAACAAAACTAAGTACATAGTTTTTGTATTATAAACCTACGATAAGATAGAAATACAATTGACATGAAACCCCAAATATAACTTAAAGGAAGATAGATTGATAAATTTTTATGAAAATACAAATGTTCGTGGATATATTTCGTATCGGCATTTACACCTTCCAATGTGCGGCCCAAGAGCACAGATATTTTTATTTGTTTTCTCTGCGCAGATGTTTAAATCTGTTACTCTCTTATTATGGCTCTGACACATTTTATTATATAGTTTCTCTCCTTCGTTTGCCATTTGGGATGTTCTTGGGATGCACTACGTGAGACAATTGGGTTAGCTACTCCCTGCCGAAGAAACAGCATTCACCACACAACGTTGCGACCAGCGCATCGTTGATGACGAACTACCTGTTTATCTTCATATTTATCCACACGATAGCGCTCTCATTTGATGGCTATAAGAGAAACAATCGTTTTATATCAAACCCAATCTTCGATTGAACAATAACATACCGAAAAATAATAAAGTAAGAATCTTCCTTATGGATATCATCAGTTTCACGTCTCCATCTTTATGAAAGTTAAGTACACTGTTCCTGTACCAATAACTGTATAGTTAAATATCAATAACTAATAATTATAAGACCGACAAACTGAACATAGATATATTATAAATACTAAACGTATTTATTATTCAACACACAATACTTAATTCGTCATTATAACCACATGCAATAACATATAAATCAAAGTTAACTCGTAAATTTTAAAGTTCATATCCATTCAAATGAAAAGTTCCATTTGGTATAGTCCGTTATATCCTCCATTTTTGAATTTTAGCACAAAAGTTCAGTTATCATATAATGTCAAATCCGTCCTTCTAGACAGTGCATAGCGATTGTCATCTGCCACTCATTGTATATGGATAAACGTCTTATTCGCGCACGTTGGCATACGTGTAGATAAATGTCCACAGTTTCCTGTGTATCCACGAATGTCCATGTCCAGCGTTTACGAATATATCCAAAATGAATGAATGAAGCAGAAATGCATGTCAAGAAAAACTTAACTACGTATATTTTAACAATCATCATCAAACTTGAATACAGTCACATTTAACAGGCAAGATTTTAACTTGACATAGTATTAATCATCCAAAAGACTATGATAACAATAAAACATATATGGAACCATGCTAATAATACGATAATTTTTCCAACAATAATACTTATGCTAATAATAAAAATAATAATAACGCAATCTGGCGTCCCAGATGCTAATATTTATCTGGCGTCCCAGATTTTAGTATTTATATGACGTCATGCCCATCACTTTTATACCTCAACTCCTCATATTCAGTTATCCATAACCACATTGATATCCGTCACATCTTAATTATTTTATTCATCACAATATATCAAATAATATCCAAATATGGCCATTTATCCTTGCATCATTTATTCTCATTAAATCATTTGTTCCACTCGATCTTTCGATTGCCAATATAACCACATTATCAACTGACAAGATCATTTTAAGAAGATCGTCGAAATGCCAGTGATTAGGACTTTAATTAAAGCAATTTGTCGAGAGAGTCAAACTATTCTCCAATTTTATTCTCCGCAACCCGAAAACATAATTTTATTGAAGGGACTTCCAATAACGTAGATTAATCATAATCTTAATATTTGCTTGTCACCTTCAAATGTGCATGTGCACTATCGATGATGTTTAACATTACAAGGGGTAAGTGGGCGAAACAGAAGGGGTATGCTTATGAAAAGAATTATGATTCATCGTCTGAAATTACGCAGACTGTAAGTCCAGGAGTCCTAAACCGAAAAAGGTGCAATGATATTTAGTATTGCCTGAAATTAAATTGAATGCCATTTAAGCGACGTATCCTGTAAAAGAAATTAAAAACTCGTTAAGATTGATATTAAAATCACAAAGGTAGACCAAAAACGAAAAAAAAATTAATTCGCTGCCTGGCTAACCTGGAAAAACAAACTATTTTATCAATATTGATTAGTGCAACATTTTTTTTGTTCAAGTCAACAACAAAATATTTCCAAATGCAGTTTTGCGTCATGTCACGAATTGTCAATAGTGAAGTGAGATTGCTCAGCTGTTGGCATCTCTTCAAACATTCCGCAACCTGTAAAATTCTTAAGGTCAATAGATGCATAAAATGTAGACGGAAATGAATTTACTTAATAAACATAAGACGTATCAAAAGATGGATAATGTTTACATTTATCTAAATTAGCAGGTATCGGAAAATATAAGACATACAAAATATATTCGCCAAACAAACGTTGCATGTTTTTTTTATATGCACATTCCATTCATTTAACAACTTTACAACCAATTTATATCATCTCTTGTACTCAATACTTACCCTTACTTACGTGAATTCCAATCAGTCATGTCATGAGGAAAAACCACAGCACAGTCAAACTTTTAAAAGTAACAGCCTAGAAAAACTAAGTGTACATTTGTTCAAATTAACAGGTATCAGGAAATATTTTGGTATGTATTTACACGGTGTGTCTATTAAATATGGTATAATTTTTCCTTGAGGTAGTCAAGTAAATCTACACACTCCTCCTTTGTTAGCTGATCTTTGTAGTCATTTAAATTTCCAATAATCCAGTCTTTTCCTAACTCAATCAAAATGTTTTCTCTCAATAACTTTCCCAACTGGATTGCGTACTGAGATTCCTTAAAACTGGAAAGTCCAGTGCTCAATTGCTGTATTGAAAGATGATACAAAGAATTTGGTTGTTCTATCCACGCCCGAGTCCAAGTGTGTGTATCCTCTATCATGATATTGAGTATATTATATTCATCCATATTTAGTTATCAATGCGCCTGGCCTACAATTTTGTTGTACTTCTTAATCGTTACTTTCATTCGCTTAAAATAAATGGCAAAAATGTCCCGCGTCAATTAAGTATTTCCTTATGTGTAATTAAGATGAACCTTAGATACGATATTTAGCCGTATCCAATAGAAATCAAGTTTGCCACATGCTACACCCCTTGAGTCGTCAGTCGTATGACGTATTATTTCGAGTCGCGTCTGTATATCAATTTTTAAACGGGCGTGTTCTCTTTCATTGACACACCCCTTACTTAATTATCTTTCCCGTCACTTTAATATTATTCTCTTTAATGTAATCCAATGTGGCTTTATTGAGATTTTCAACGGGTTCCCAAGTATTCTGACTTTGAGGAAACCCTTTCCACTTAATGAGGTATTGTGTTTCACCGTTTTTCCGCACTCGACCACGTAAGACTTTTTCTACTTCAAATAGTTCATCAGTGGTCTGGGACAAATCAACTTGTCCTCCAGCCTCATTCTCTTGTTGTACTTCATTTTCCGGCTCCGTGATAAAACTATCACTTGGGAAATCTTCTTCTTGTAATTGTGTATCGTCACCATTATTTAAATCGGGAATTTCAGTATCTGGCGGTCTCATTTTCCTGTCGTACCCCATTTTCAAACGATTCACATGGACAAGAGTTTTCACTACATGATTGTCTGACACACGGCTTAATTTTACATTAACAGGTGTCGGCATATCTATGATAGTGAATGGGCCATGATAAAGTCGTGCTAACTTTTTGGTGCATCCCTTCGGGACCGCTGGATTATAAACGAATACACGATCGCCTATTTGATATTTTACATCTTGAGCTTTCCTATCATACAATCTTTTCATTCTCTCTTTTGCTTGTTCTATATTCTCATGGGCTATCTCTTGAGCCACACTCAATTTCTTTATCAAATTTTGAATGTGATAGTTCATTGATGGAGATTTTATCACTGGGGACAGAAGAGCTACATCAATTGGTAAACGTGCCTCTTTGCCATATAACAGGAAAAATGGACTCATCATAGAGCTCGCGTTAGGTGTAACTCGTATACCCATCAGAGCTGAGTTAACAAATAAATCCCAATCTTTTTGATTCTTTGAAACATAATTTGATAATGTTTTCATAATCAACCCGTTTAATCTCTCTACTTGACCGTTTGTCATGGGATGGTACGAACTGGTTTGAATTTTTGACATGTCTGTGTATTTGCATAACTCCATCACTATGTCTGAGAGGAAATTACTGCCTCTATCACTTAACAAAGTTTTGGGTACCCCATGCCTACATATTATCTCATCAAAAAGCAATCTTGCAATGGTAGGTGCTGTAATATCGGGTACCGGGAATGCTTCTGGCCATCCAGTTAAACTGTCTATGAATGTAACCAAATTCTTATTCCCTCGACTCGTAACTGGCAGAGATGTTATGCAGTCAACAGACAATCTATCAAAGCTACCTTCCACGGGCAAAGGTAACAACGGAGCCCTGAAATCTTTTGGAGGGTTTTTCTTTGTCAAGCATTCAACACAAGAACGCACGTAATCGACCACATCTGCGAATTGACCTTTCCAAAAGTACTTCATCCGCAATGCTAAGTATGTTTTCTGAATGCCCCCATGACCGATTGTGATATCATCGTGTAAACTAGACAAAACTTTGTACTTCAACTTGTCGGGAATAACAAGTTGCAAATAACCTTCTGAGTGGGGTGATTTCCTTCCTTTGGGGACATAAATATGATGTANAGNCAACGACAGACGTAGAAGATGGCTATATGTACAGACACATCTGTGTCTGTACATAAAAAATGGCAGCAGTCACAAATGTCATTTCTGACAGCGGCTTAAAGCAGTTTTAAAACACCTGAATCTCGGGTCTTCTGACATAACATTCTCTTAATTGTGTTGATCCATGGTTTAGCTTATTGTTTTCATAACAAAATTACCCTTGAAAGCAATGGATATGAATGTTTAACAATATAGATAACGCTGAATGCGTCGAGTTTTTACCCCGAAAAGTAGACACGGATAGAAGAATTTGATGCATTAACCAAGAAATGAACATCACTTTTGAGATATGAATATTTTTGCTAGCTATACCTTTACTTAAACTTTTCTTAAAAATAGACTGTTGAGAACAACAAAAGAAGAATTGCTTCATTTTAATTTTTTACGTTATAGTTCACTGCTATCAACTCACAGTGACTTCTGTGAAAGCAAACACTGTCTAGACATTTTTTTCAGAATGTTGGAAATTATATAAATGATCAAATAAACTTCCCAGGCACGAAATAGACCGTTAATCAAGAATTCTCCTTTACGGCAAACATTTTGTGTATGACATGAAGCAAACAGACGTAGATGCTGTCATAAAATGTTTCAAAAGGAAAAAAAAAAAAACAAACGGAATGCTTCACACTGATATAACATTTATTGTGAACCTTTTCAATAGCACCCGCTAGAACAATCACTGTCATGATGAGAAAAAAAAAAGACAATTAAAGTCCTATAACATTTTAAATAAAATTTCATTCAATTTTAGTTGATACACAAGATATCAATGCTGACATGTTAATCAGTGACATGTTAAATAAATGAAAGGAATGCAGCAGTAGTTAAAGAACTGTTTGACAGGGCAATGTCAGCAGGCTGAGGAGACAGTCCGCCTCTCCTGAGAATAAACATATAATACAGGCAAGGATTTCCCCAGAGCGCCATCCAGTCGTCATTTGGATGGACACTGGCCTCAAACGATGGCCTTTACTCTCAAGGACAACTGTACAGTGTAGACAATTTTTGGGTATGTTGGTTGGGCTGGCTTGGGTTGGACCAGTAAATCAATGACCAAATTACAGATTCACATTTTGGACTCCCTGTTCCTCAAATCCTGGGGAAACCCCTGACCACAGGGATACAGATAGCTGACTTTCTTACTTGTAAGTAGCTGTCTAATATCAGATCTTAGCTTGTTTAAACCAAATCTAAGTAGTATGTAGTCTTGATAACCTGATTTTTAGGACTAAGTAACCCCACCCTCAAAACAAAAATAAAGCAACCTCAATCTGCCTCCAACTACTAAATCACTGATTAAGCAATTAAGTACTGTGACAATAACTTATAAGTCCATGTTAGGTTTAAGGTTGGTTTTCTCAGGTATAATATACCTTGTAATCTCACCAGATAATCAGATCTCCCCTGGCAGCTTATTGGTAATGTCTACCAGGGTCACAGATTAATAATGTGCACCTTTCTTCAACTCACAGTGGAGATATGTGCCATGAATTAGCCAGAGACATATACGTGAAAATCTAGCAAAAAATCAATCTGTGGCCCTGGTAGAGGGTATGTTGGTATGGAGTTTATACACATGCGGTTCTAAATTAAGTCAATTTAAGAGTGACCTCTTTTATAATTCCTCTTTTATGACTACAACACAATCTAGGATAAAGTTACACAAAACATAATACATGTACCACAGTATATGCCATTAATATGTCAAAGTTTTAACCAGACACCCACACATGTACATACACATATTTATATAACATAAATATTATGACCAGTTAACTTAACATTGTAATCACCAGCCACTTTAAATCTAAATATCATCTTTGCTGACTTCTTCAAACGAGGACGTGCTCTCAGCCGAGGAGTCCCCAGTCACTGTTCCAGACACAACAGAATCCTCCTCCGTACACGTCGTGACGTCTGAGATAAAACTCGTTCCCCCGGTGGAGTCGAGGTTACAGCTCTGCTCGGCCTCTGCGGAATCTCCACCTGCACTGGTGCCGCTGATGTTGGCTGAAGTGATTCCTGAATCTTCCTCATTGGTGGACAGCTCCGGAGTTTTATCAAGTGATCTTGAAGGTGATCCACTCCTCTTACTTCTGCGCACTTTAACTGGCTGGCTTTCGTCTTCTCTTTGGTCGGCGGTTTTCTTGTGTTTTGGTGAGTCTTTGAGATGGGCAGGGCCCTCCTGATGGGTGTGGCCGTGGGCCTCGGGGACGTAAAATTCATCCTGTTTGGCAAGAGGGGCCATGAAGTGAATAGTGAAGCCGTCATATATCTCCACAAAAGGATGGGCACACAGCCTTTTCTCCTGCAAAAATTACAATTTTAATATTAAAATAATATCAGGATACGGGGCCACCACTGTATTGTGTGCCCCAAGATATATTTAACTCCGCAATTAAAATATCCTCGTTATCAAATAAACACCAACTAGCGGTTTAATTTTGTATATCATTAATTCTCCAAAGGCCACAAACAAACTTTTGTTTTTATTCACTGAAATATTCTTGATCACTACATGGATTGAGTAAAAGTGCAACTTCTAGATCATTCGAGTCAAAATGATCTAATTTTAACAGATTTTGGTTTTGAATAAATCAACACTGATTATATTAGCTCCTTACAGATTTGCAAACTTTATGGAAGTCTACTGACTCTAGGTAATATTACACTAAGTGAAGCAAATCACAAATAAATTGTAAATGCGCCTCTCTTTTAGTTACCTTTACATACTGCCCCAAGACTGGGTACACCCTTTTTATAGCTACAAGTATAGATATGGCTGTATTATAAGGAAATTTTGTCTTGACCACATTTGTGACAGCAGGAAAAGTATGGAACTTATAGCCACGTCTCTGATATTCTTCTTTCTGTGCTGGGTCCGGCTCCTTGTCCCCTTCTGCCAGAATACTGCCCACCACATACCTCTGCTCTCCCAATCCTACCTGAGATATGTAATAAAGAACGTTTTAAAAGTACACAATTTTACATAAAGAAAAGATTATAGTAAACTCAGGCAAGCAATTGCAAAGGGGTGGGGGTGGGGGGGGGGGGTGGACCTATTACCATGGAACCTACGTGTACATAGATCAAAATTTACCCAAAGTGGAACTCTTCCTGGCATGAAGGTCATTTCGTTGGACCCTCCCCCCCCCCTTCCTGGGCTAAAAGTCTGATATACATGTATAGCTGGCAATTGTGGAAATATTTTATTGTAACAGAATTTTATCAATTAAGTTTGCCATTGCCACTTATTTGGGTGTAGATTCTGAGCACAAATTAATTTGGTTTCATGTATTATATTTCGTGACACTGCGCACACATTATATGCTACGGGCCTGGGCTTGCATGTATACTACAATGTACAATAAGTTGGAACCGCAGATCTTTATGTACATGTACGCGCGGTTAAAATATAATGCACCGTCATTTTCACTTTCAGAATATGGAGACAGGTGACAGTGTTAGTTCTAAACCCCTGCCTTCGCTTTTAAAGAGTTCAAAGCCACCTGAGGTTCGTACTCTACCGTGCTTACCTCATCTGGGTCGTCATAATAAACCCCTATACAGCGCAGATCAGCCACGATACTGACTGCCTCGGTGAACAGGTACCCTGCGTCTTTGTACGATCCTTTCCCAAATTTATAGGCCACGTACAGCTTCCCGACTGGAGGGGGTCCTGCACCAACTACAATGTCTGCAAACAGTCCGGAATAAACTAAGAATCCTAGCACAGTCAGCAGGATTGCCACTATGAGACAGAAAAGTCCATAGAGGAGTAGCATTTCCGTCGACATGATGGAGCATTTATTTTTATTCTTCCGTATCGCTAGATGGCGCCACGAGACAAGACGGGTTTATGTGAGAAAACGAAAGGAGACGGGACTTTCATCTAGATCTCTTCATTGCTTGTACTCAACATTGCATATGCATAATAGATACAGTTTGTGTAATTAATAGTTAATTCTTTGTTTTTATTGCTTGGTCCACATTTGTTCTTTTCATCAGCTCTTTTCATCATGGATGAATAAATTGTTTATTTATACATTTATCTTTATCTTTTGTAAAAAGGATCACGGGGTCTGGAAGAAATGGACTGTATTTTCAATGTGATGATTTTACCTTTAATGGTGACTTCTTTTAAAATATTGTTCTGCTAGTCAAGTAACATGTTTACTCAGGTAATCATGACTGAAAATGACTGCAGCTGCTGGGCGTGAAAATTAACTCACATGAAATTCACCAAATACTTTTATTTCGCTACCAGTTTCATATTTTAAAGACGATATCATCCATCTCTTACAATGTATATATGGATTGCCCACTTATCTGTGTTGCGTAAAAGACCCCTTTGTTATCACTGAAAGAGGAAGTATGTTGAAAACTTCAACTGGCAGTCAGAAATACCTGTCTACATTACATCTGAGATGTTACACAAAGGGGTTATTATCATTTTTTTACAGTCCCCATCAATACTTCCGCTCTAAGCACCACTACTAACGGGGTACTATTACAACTAGAAAAAAATTCACATCACACCACCATAAGGTCAAAGTATAGTGAACGAGAAATTGTGAAACTAGAGGATTGGAGAGGCATCACCGCCTATAGCGAATACGTGCCACCAGCTAGGTTAGGGATACCAAATCGACATTAACACAGAACACTTTTGCTTAGAAGTTATAAAGCATCATCAGTTTTATCATGTAATGGCAGACGGGTTTCTAGAGAGGGTTAGGACAACAAATCATCAGGTTCATCTTAACATTTTATTTTCCACATGGTACATCAGTTATAAATGAAATCATACAATCATGCATGCGATTCATTTCACACTTTTTACAAGATTCTTTGACAGTAAGAAAATGCAAGTTGTTTGCAGCAAATTTAAGAGTCAGAACTAAATGATGTAAAAGATTTGTTTGGTAAAATATCGAGAAGCACCAAAGCTTTTTTTTTTTGTATAAAGAAAATTACCTTTACCCCATCGTGACTAAGTTTCAGTAGGTTTTACTTCATTTTTAACATGCACGTAAAAGAGAAGTCTCAGAATCAGTTTCTTCATCCTGAATATAGCATAATTTGTAGCAATAAAATACATCAAAAAGATGACCATGTTGCCAGTTTTCAGACAATTTGCACTGCATGCTTACTGCTGTATTTACACAAAATCCTCCATCTGTACAATCAATAATAATTGGCATTAATTCTACCTATAGTATTTTAACTGCTGTGGCATTCTCTTCCCTTAACTACACTATTTGATAGGTATGGCATTACACATATTATTGATCTGACCTACATTGATGATAACCTTCCTGTTGCTGTTGCATCTTATCATGTGAGGTAGCCTATGCCACGTACAGCATATATACAGGGCTATGTGTGACCCATTCAATACCTGGGTACAAGGTGCACCTCTGCGTCGCATTATACAAGGTGTCACATTGATTGCATGTATATATATGTATATATATATAGATAGTATATATGTGTCTCCTTGCACTATAGGCTCCCAACCTGCTAGTGCCACCAGGTCTCTGGCAGCACTAATAACCATTAATCAAATACCATCAGGTTCCTGTACATTAATAGATTATTAATTTTTTTCTTTCAAATATCATACAAAAATATCACCACTCTCCTCATCGTCTTTTGAGTGTCATTTTCACATTCCTTGTACAATGGTCAAAATTGGTCGTGAAATGTCAGATCCTAATAATTATTTTCCTCGTGAGAGAACAAAGAATAGTCGTACATCGGGTGACACTGTACTTACGCACACCATCACTCACTGACTGCTTACTTAACATTGGTTTAGCCTCCCAAACTTTGACCCCTATGGAGAAACTGGTGAACCTTAACACCTCTCTCCAATCATACTGTCCAAATATCACCCAAGATCGACACTTCTTTTTTTTTTTTTTTGTTCATTTCCATTTCTTACTCTCCCTGAATCCCCCCATTATTTTACAGGCGTGTTCCCCGATTAAATACACGAATCTCTCCCAACCCCCTTTCTGCAGTATAGAATGAGAATGCATGAACCACCGTAATGCCATCCTCATATGTCATGAAGATCAGATTTGCATGATTACAGAGAATTTTCAGAGAAAATGAACTCCTGATCTTTTGTTTGGTCCTAACCTACACTTAAGTAAATAGGAATCGTGTTTATTTTTCTTAGATTTACATTGATAATAAAGATTCAGTGATCTCATGAGTTTTGATGACATTTATGAATATCTTTTTTCTTTCTCAATATAGTACCAATTCAATAAAGATAGGAGCTTTGTTCAGAGTTTGCAAGATAGTCCAATCCATCTCATGCACCAAAAATATCCCTTTTTATACTCTGATATGATGAAACGGTGATAATTCATTTTGTTACACAACTGGAGTGACTGACAAATTGAGCCAGTTGTTTTATTTTGGCATCAGGAGCGAGTTTTTTTTTTTTTTTTTTTTTTAACTGTAAATTCCTCCTAGGAAATATATTACGTTTTCTAGATGAGTTGCTCTTACAAAAAGAGTATAACAATGATGCATTCCCAGAATTCCAAGCTCATAGGTCCTTGGCTTCCATTAACATGCACATCCGTCTTGTTTCTTATTAGCGTCCGCATTTGTGAGCTTAATTTGATCGGGGAATTCATTATACAACTCCACCTCTGTCTCCTGCGCTAGTGCGTTCTTCGCCACTGTTTGGAAAGCCTGCTCCACGTTGATGGCCTCCTTCGCGCTGGTCTCAAAGTACGGGATATCACCTTTGCTGTGGCACCAACCCTGGGCTCTCTTGGTGGACACCTGGTGGCAGACACAAACACTATTAGAACAAACAAGACTACAACCATATACTCAGCTTTAAATGAGAAATGGTTCAAAATATGTCTGCACTATAGTACTGGGGAAGCGCTAACACTCGCCAATTTAGCCAAATGCTAAAACTGACTTAAATTGGCTAAAGAAAAAGGGCTTGATTTGACGTTTTAGCCAAATTATAATCATTTTGATAACAAATTGACAAAAATGTGGTGATTTGGCTAAGCGAAAAAAATTGCTAGCGCTACCCCAGTAATACCTTCTGTTTGACAGTAATTGCACACCAATCATCTCCAAATGTATCATTAATTTCATGATCTGCACAAACCCGTACAATTCTTCTTCAATACCACCCCTCAAGTTGTCAAATTTAGAAATAAATGTTGGAAATGCATCCTCCCTAACATCTATTCACTTAAAGAAAAAAAATTCTATTCCTCAGATGTGATCAAACACTGGGGCCCTTTATTGCTACACACTCCAATTCATTACTGTCCACATCAATAATCTCAAGTCATCCATCTTTATTGATCAACTGAACACACAAGCTGCCTGGAGATTATTAGATTTTATGTATGTTTCTGCGCACACAAAAAAGCCCACTGCAGTTTTCTTTAACAGATTACAAACTGTCAAGATTATTCTGGCTTCATTTTTGCTGTTCACCATCCAAAACACTGCAAAAATGTGAGAGAGAATGAATAGCACGCATTTGGAATCTACCAACTGCTCTATATATAATGTGTCTAAAATGAGGACATGCAACCTATTTACTGTGTAAAACATGGAATGAACCCCTTTTAATTCAATTGTAAATGCGACATTTTATGTTTACACAGATGAAGGTGGACACATTTATAAAGAAACTTAAAATGTATGTGCCAGACATGTACAGCTCTATATGGGCTATCTGGGGATATAAATACAGCATCCAAATATCCAGATTCCAGAAAATCTGTAAGACTTTCATCTCCAAAGGTATAACAGACCCACAGTCTTTTTTTCTTAATGCCGCTTTTTGTTCCAGACACCTCACTTATCTTCAACATAAGAAGTAAAAAAAAAATTGCAGGAATATTTTCATTTTTCCTAATTCTGCCAATTTTTATCCAACCACCTAAATTTCCAACACAACAAGCCACAAACTTACCGCTCTATTTTCTAAGTCAATTTTGTTCCCAATCACCACAAAAGGAAAGTGTTCGGGGTCCCTGGGGCTGGCCTGGATGAGGAACTCGTCCCTCCAACTGTCCAGCGTCTTGAATGTGTTGGGCATGGTGACGTCAAAGACCAGTACGCAGCAGTCGGCACCACGGTAGAAGGCCACCCCCAGGCTCTGGAAACGTTCCTGGCCCGCTGTATCCCAAATCTGGCAATATAATAATAATAATAAATTGAACATTAAATGATTTTGTTTATGCACTAAAAAATCTCTATACTACAAGGTTCAGTTACAGGTGACAATGTTATATAGCACTACACAGTAACCATGCAGTATAGTGAATGCTTATAGTAGACCAAGTAGAGTTTTGTACATCAAAATATAGATTAAGCCATAATGTCAGGACCAATAATAACACGATTGTACATGTTTCTGCAGTGTTCCAGAACAAGACTGACACTATCTTACGTGACTTCCTGTTTCCATGTCCCAAATCTAAAATTACATGACAAATATAAAACTCTGCTGGACAAAATTATGAGCAAGCAAGGTTCCATCTTGTATTCCCCCTGGGGTCCTCACCTGACCCCCCCCCCCCCCCACCCCCTGGGTCCTCACCTGCATTGTGACCAGTCTATCATCTACCATGACTTCTTTTGTGAGAAAATCTGCTCCAATTGTGGCCTTGTACTGATTGCTGAATTTTTTGTTCACATATTGGTTCATCAGGGACGTCTTCCCGACACTACAAGAGGAAAAAAATATCAAATTAAAAGATATATTTGAATAAAAGACCTTTCATATTTCACATCACTTGCCAATAATCTTATGAATTAATTCACAAAGAAGGATAAAATAATATCACATGCATATCTCTGTTCTGACATCCCTTTTAAAATTCTCTTTTTATATATATTCATACCTGTGTTCAAGTTCATAAAAATTCCCTTTAAAAATTCCTTATCAAAGTTATCAAGAGGCAATCAATAAGACTGTAAATTGATAGCAAATGTAAGCCACATGAGAAAGGCAGCTATCTTTCCATCTAATATGTGACAAGTGAATAGATAGGGACAAACAACAGTCCTCCAGTCACTTTGTGATGAATTGGCCTCAGCATATCAATCATTTCTTCGTAGATTACACTCACGTCAGCTACAGCAAACCTTCAGGCTACTGCGCGTTTATTTATAGTTTTAAAAGGGATAACAAGTGTTCCTTTGAGATTTATATTTCACAATAAATACATTGTAAACAACTCACAGAAGTATAATTTATTTTATCACCAAAAACGGCGGTTATTGCAACTATTCCTTAATATGTGCTTGCCGTCAGACCATGTTGACCTCCATAGATGGCTAAATCTCCATAATTATCTCTTCAGAAATTATTACAAAAACCACACTTTTTTGGGAAAAAAAGGGGACTAACTTTGATAGTCGAAATGGATTCATTAACCACTGGTAAGTATTGTATTATCGTTGTTTACCCCAGGAAATTCCTTTTTTTACCAAAGCCAACAGTTGCTGTCCCTTTAATATACTGAAGTGTCATGTACTCGCCCATTGGTAAGTATTGTAAAATACTGTACATAATGTAATGTACTTAATCATTGATAAGTATTGTAAAAGCGTCGTTTACCCCAGGAAAATCCATTTTCTGACAAAAATGCACAGTTGCTGTCCCTTTATTAACTGAAGTGCCATGTACTCACCCACTGTCCCCCAAGATGATGACTTTCAATAATACCTTCTTTCTAGATGACATGGTGAAAATTACTGCAACAATAAAAAAAGATGTGTTATACAACATTCAGGATATAGCGTAAAATGTATCTGCCACTCTCCAAGCTGCTTAGCATAAGGAAAAAAAGGTCATCTCAAACTTCTGGTGTAGTGTGGCAGCACCTGTCATAATACTTATTATTAAAATGCAGACATGATTAATATAAGTAACCTGATACCAGACATTCACTTCTATATGCTGTTGTCCAAGACGCAGACAGATCAGGAAACGGTTCTAGTATTCCAGCAAGTAACTTAGTTTAATCATAAACAACTGCACATGGCAAGTGAGAGGTGTATTTCTACCAGAAAACCTTTGTCTTTTCACAATTTCATAGGACACACAATTTTCATTTGGGTGATTGGTTGAAATGACTTTTTTAAAAGAGGTACTGGATGAGGGCTAAAGTCCGGTGCATACTAGTAAGCAAGGTGGTGACCTGCAAGAAGTTCTCATAAAATGTAAATCTTATCACAACCTCAATCTGACATTTATGTTTTTTTCCAGAACAAAAGAGATTAAAATCTGCTCAAATATCAAAAACAAGAGAACTCTCATAAAAAAACACTACCATATGCAGATAAGAACCCGTATACTTGGAACTCCAGAGGCCAATCTTAATGCAGGTGATTTGTGAAAAAGATTAAAACTTGGTATAGTAATTAAAGATGACTGAAGTCTGAAATTTTGTAGATCACTTATACAATTGTTTGATGGAAAATACACTTCTCTTTAGGTATTTTAATCTGCCATCTGTTTTATCCCTCAATTCACCCCCCTCTCTTTCTCAAAGCATACATTAGAAATAACCATTGGCCAACTATCCTTGGGTATTAAGACAGGTCAGAGGAATATGAGTACAATTCATCAAGCCAAGTGTGATATATTCTGAAGTTGCTGTCAAGGGGGAACTACCAAGACTGGAATGAAATTCTTTTGTTTGCCACATCAAAATGCACCTGTTCCTATGCTAAAGCATTTTTTCCATGAAAGTTTCTACCTCAGGGTTTATAACATTTCAAAGGAAATAGATTACATTTTAAATCTACTGGTAGGCTGATTTTACAACAGACCATTAACACTAGGGATGCTGTTTCTGTGACTAATATGTTTTTTTTTTCACATAGCATCTTGCATAATTACACACAAATTGATACCACTGGCCTAAATTACAAACCATTTATCAGACCAAAATCTGATAGAAACAAAGGGCAAAGGTACACACTTTGTGTCAAAATTGTCTGGAGAGTGAGACTTATTGACTACTGTTAATCAAACCAATCAATTTCATATGTTGATCATTTTCAACAAGGTGAAAAGAAGATCCATATTTCAGGCAGTGACACTTTTCGTGTAATATCATGTGTGGCAAACAACTCCCCTCTGAACTCATATTTATCAATGACCTATATAAGTCCAGATACAGATCACATTTCAGTTACAAAAGGAGGACAAATATCTCAAAACTGGAGCAATTCATACTATATAACAAGTACACTTATCAAATCAACAAAACCAAAACAAATGAAAAAACCAGGAAATCACTTTACACGAGCACAAAAAAGTATTTACGACTATGCCACGAATACTTCATTCTTATTCTTGACAGTTCTATTGTTCATAAAGTCAAATTAACAATATGTTTTACTAAAACTAAAACCTTCCAACCATCATTCAACTGTTTGTTAGGTAACATTTCAATGAAGTGAAAGACATCGAATCAGAGAACGAATAAAATGAATCGCCAAACAAAACAAAAACGCAGCAAGTTCGTAATTACACCAATGCTGCCACAATCATTTTAAAAACAGACATTCATAAACTAACAGTTATTATCTGATCTTCTCATCATTACCTGAAAACCTGTCAACTCACCAAAATTGCGATATTTTTACAAAAATGTTCTTCCGATGCTACTGCAATTTTTCCACCTCCAATATGGCGGTCGTTCTCGTGACCAGAGTGACGTCATGCGCCTCATTGTGAACTGAAATATGGCAGCGCCCTGTGACACATTTGACGGTGGATTTGAGTCATCGAAATTGGGCACCAAACAGTAGTAAGTCAAATAAAAATAACTGCATGTCTACCTGGTCACAGTTGGTTAAGAAATAATCCACAAAAATACCTCACCCAGTTTTTGGTTTCCTTTGTAATTGGGTTTATAAATGAAGTAAACAAAACATCACGTGCAACATGTATAAGTACGATCGATCGAAAGAAGATTTATTCTACATAGTACATGTACTTGTTAAAGAAGAATGATAGATTTGCCAATCAAAATTCGTTATCGTCATGTGATAAATCAAGTAAAAATACCATCGTTGCTGAGTAACATGAGGGCAAGGGCCAAAGAACCATATAATTCACTGCAATTCCATAAAAAATGTGAGTAAATTATTTATGGAAAATAAGTTACGTTAACGTTACATTTGTTGTTATCGTGTTAATTCTTCCATTTCTTAAACTTTATTATGCATGTTTCCACTGGTCTGAAATGAGAAAAAGACTTAACACGCCATATTCTACACTGGTTTGTGAAATAACTATAGTTTGTTTGTTTTGTTTTGTTTTGCGCTGGAAAACCCACCTGGCCCAAAAACGGTCAACAGGTACTCTCAAAGCCTTTATAGATAAACACTATGATCCGTCAATGGAAGGGGTTGACCTTAGACTGTCTGATTTTAATAAAACCCTAGACGAACTAGGTAGGGAAGCAGGTCTACATAAGAAAATCCCCAGTAAAAAGAAAAGAGGTAAAAAGACAAGTAAGCACTGGTACGATAATGATTGTAGGGAACTATTTCGAGACATTAAAAGGAAGGCACGTTCAGTAAAACATAACCCCTGTAAAGAAAATCTTCTAATAGAAATTAACAAAAAGAAAAAATTATACAAGAAACTGCTAAACAGAAAGCGGAACAAGTTTAGGGACAGCATTTTTCGGTCACTAGAAAAT